TATCACCCCAAAAAGCCAAATAAAATCAGAGGCGTATTTGATTCTTCTGCGACCTTTCGTGGTACGTCATTGAACCAGGTGCTTTTGAAGGGTCCTGATCTGACTAATAGCCTTGTGGGTGTGCTCATAAGATTTCGAAGAAAAGCTGTGGCCATATGCGCAGATGTAGAGAGCATGTTTTATTGCTTCAAAGTGACACCAGACCAGAGAGATTACTTGAGGTTCTTCTGGTACGAAGATAACATTTTTGGTAAACCGATAATTGAATATCGTATGTGCGTACATGTCTTCGGAAATAAGCCTTCACCGGCAGTAGCCACATATGGCCTACGGGAAATCGTCAAAGATGCCGATCCTGATATCCGGGAGTTTGTGAACAAAAACTTTTATGTGGATGACGGGCTGACGTCATGCGAAGACGCCACGACAGCTATTTCCTTGTTACAACGTACGCAAGCAGTGTTGAAGAATGGGGGTGGAATCAGACTTCACAAGTTTGCCTCCAACAGTCCAGAAGTCGTGAATGCTTTCCCCACAGAAGACATAGTTAAACATGTGAGGGAATTTGGCTTGGGAAATGGAGATGCTCCTGATCAAAGTAGCCTGGGTGTAATATGGAATTTAAAAAATGATACATTCAGATTTGATGTAAACTTAAGAGACATGCCATTTACTCGAAGAGGAATTCTTTCATTAATTAACGGCATCTTTGACCCTCTCGGTTTCCTGGCCCCGGTTTTGGTTAGAGCTAGAGTGTTGCTGAGGGAAATGATGGAATCAACGAACACGTGGGACGAGCCCCTACCTTTAGTCTTCGAGCAAAGATGGAAATCATGGAAAAATAGTTTATCAGCTTTGAAATCCCTAAACATACCACGAACATATCGCAAAGCCAGGCCCATAGATATCATCAGCGAAAATCTGCTGGTTTATTGCGATGCATCCGAACAGGCTGTGGCAGCCGTAGTTGATTTGCAGACCGTCACCCCTGTAGGCACTGAAGTTGGATTTGTGATTGGCAAATCTCGCATTGCACCAAAGCAGGGCTACACGATCCCCAGGTTGGAGCTTTGTTCGGCTGTTCTTGCCGTCGAACTGGCTAAAACAGCATCTACAGAATTGGACATGTCTCCTACAAACATAAGGTATTACTCAGATAGTAAAGTTGCTCTGGGCTATATCAGTAACACCACCAAACGGTTTCATACCTTCGTGGCCAATAGAGTTAACAAGATAACACGCTTCAGTACATATCAACAGTGGTTTTATGTTGCATCTGAAAAGAACCCTGCTGATCAAGGCACAAGGTGTCTGGACGCCTCTAGGCTTTCAGAGTCTGTCTGGCTTACCGGACCTAGGCAGCCCTACACAGATGAGGGGAGAAATAGCATGTTTCCTCTTGTTGAACCACAGATGGACAAAGAAATCAGGAAGGAAGATATCTGCACAGTGAAAA